TATATATACATACATTTTTTAATAATTAGATAATATAATAATAATAAAATAATTTAATTTCGAATTAATGAAAAGAAGTTAATTGTTCATTACTTCGAATTTTTCAAATTTTATTACGCAATCGGCAGATTTATAGAGAATTTATATTAAAATTTGTGCAGTGAAATTTTAAATTGATTCTATATACTATTCAACATGTATAGGTTTGTTTCTCTTCTCCCCTCTCTTTCTCTTATCTCTCTCTTTCTCTCCCCGGAGAAGTTATTAGGAATGGAAAGGATGTCAAAGTGCTTTCCCTCTTCCCCCGGATTAGAAATTCAATTTCACACAATAGACTCCTGTCATTCTCTGTCAATTCACTTATTTCCTAGAACTCGTGTCAGCATTTTCATTAATCAGAACGTCACCGATGTTTATATCAATCGCGAGCGAAGCCGAACGAACGTAATCATCCGAGGTTAAAGTTCTCCCTATTACGCGTCCGTCAAAGACATCTCACCGTTCCCTTCTCACGTTGTTTCTCGCGGCACATTCCTCACGTTTCGCGCATCCCTGTTTCCTACCGTCGCATATCCTATACCTTCTATTTCGCGGTCGTCCTTTAATCGCGCGCCGCGCGCGGAATTTCACACGCGCGTTCTCGCACCGCTCGCCCGCTCGCGACTGAGACACGCGTCACGCACGTCTCGCCGTCGCCGCCGTCGTCGTCGCTCGTCCTCGTCCACCTGTGCACGATGTGTACGACCTATGGCTTCCTCATAGTGGGGAGCCTGTGGTCGCTTTTGCGAGAGAACGCGCGTCTATCACGATAATCGCGCGCCGCCGGATTGGGTCCCGCTTTGTGGGACCACGGCGGCCCGCATTCGCACGCGCGGCGCGCGCGTTTAACGCCTAATCATAGTCGTTTAGTCTCGAAATTAACCCGGTAGTAATCTTTAATACTTCCGCGGTTTATTCGAATTTGATACGTCGATGTTATCCCCGGAATATTGTACCGGATGAAGAAAACGTTTGCCCGAAAAATATTATGTCTTTTATGGTTTTATAATAATAGAATTTTCTAATATGTGCACTTATATATTTAATAAATTGGAAAAAGTTAAAAACACGCATCGTCATTCTTGTTAATTAGTTTCTAATAAAATTATTTACTTTAAGTGTTTTTACTTATTTCTAATAATGCCATAATTCTGAAATTAGCAACATTTCAGGGTTAAGAATTTATATGTGAAAATCATCAACGAATTATTCTTTTCACATTAAAATATTGATCGTATGACACTCGCGGTATTCTGAAAAATATAGAATTTTAATGTCTGTTTCTTTCAAAATGTTTATTCACACTTTTAACTTCTTCGACAAAGCTTTAACAACAATGAAAGTTTGCAATTGTTACTACGACGTACCGCGCGAACTTAAGTTTGCGAAGCCACACGACTTACCCAGAGAATTGGAGCGATGTGTTGAAGCGATATCGGTCGTTCGCGCTCGCCACGTTATGTGGTCTCGTCTATGGCGCGTTATCGCGTGCATACGCGGCTCAGTCATGCGAACGGTGTCTTTTTCAGCTCTCTTTCAGGTGGAACCAGAAGAGAGTTCGCTCGACCGCGCGACAAGATGTAAAAGTCGCTCGGGTTACGCGAGACTCGATCTCGTACCGTTTCAACCGCGCGGGGCAAGTTGGAATCGATACAAGTTTTGTTACGACATCGACGGTCCAAATTAGCGATTTTAATTCCGTAAATTCCGCGGCGCCGGCTAACCGGCACTATTAGTTGATCGTAGCCTACGTAAATGTCATTTGGATTTGCGGAAGAGTCGTGGAACTCGTTTCCCTTATCCGCGAACGCGCTCGCCTGGATACTTTTACTTCGTACAGCTGTATGAATTTTCCTACGGATTTATCTGTCAGATTTACTCCACGAGCTGTGCAAAGGTACTTCATAAAGGTAATTAGTCATCGCGAAACTACAAGGACTTTTTATAAAACTGGTATGTGAAACATTTTGTGACAATCATGAGTAAGCGATGTGTAGCCAGCTTCGTCGGCGCTATTTATATGTTCTTCAACCGAGTTAGGCACGTCGACTTGATGATTATTATTCGAAGAACATTGCAATTATTCGTCATTTCCTTCATGGCTTCCTTCGACTAGCGAATCGGCTAATCAAAAATCTATCCTTCGTAAGAAATTACGATGATTCATTCGTAGG